AAAACCCAGAAGAATGCCTGTTTCTGCTCAGATAAATTTCAGTCTCACTGAAGGTTCACAAAGGCCTTGGCTTGTATTACACAATTGGCAAAGAAAAGTTAATCTTTGTGTCCTTAGTTCTGTGGTGGTAGAACTTCTACATGGTGACATGTTCAGAGAGCCCACCAGGAGCTCTCTGCAGGGCAGTGGTGGTTCAGCTGGAAGCATCCTTTTCCTGAAGAGTTGGCTGCAATTTAAATCCCCATTTTATTAAAGGAGCAGAACTGTCCAAGTGCCCAGAGCTGGTGAGTAGATGCGGCATCAGGACTAGAGATGAGGTCTTATGATTGCTAACGTGGGAGGGGGGCGAGGAGCAGATGTCATTGCCATCTATGTCCAGATGGGGAATGGCCCTGAGTCTACTCATGTGGTGCACAGTAAGCCCACAGGCAGGACGGCTTTGGGGTCAAAAGCCCAGATTTAAATTCTACCTCATGGTCCACCACCTAATTGCTCAATGTCTGTAAGCAAATTTAGTTCCCTCATCTAAAAATGGGGCTAACCATCGAGCTTAGTTATGGGACTGTTGTGGAATTGACTGAATTAGTCCAAGAGCTTAGAACTCTTAATTGCTCTATAAGTTACAGGTTTAAGACATACTCGATCTTTCCATTGGGATGACTAACAAAATAAATTACAAATGGGTTAAAGTAAATGGAAAAAAAATACAAACACAAAACAATTTGAAAAGAGCACATATGCAATAAAAGAAACCATAAGGTAAATATTGGTAAACTGAAATATATGAAAGTGAAAATTACTCTAGGTTCAAAAATATTGTAAGGAAAAGGAAGATGTAAAAGATAAAATTGAAAAAGATTGTAATGTATCTGACAGCTAAAGATTAATATCCTTAATATATTAAAAAGTTTAACAAATCTATCAGAAAAAAATGAGTACACATATCAGAATATATATATGTAATAAACATAAAAGGAACTTCCATTTTTCAATTATGAAAATTGCAAAGAAATCATAATGAAATTTATTATACTCAGAATTAGCATGTAAGGAAACATGCTGTTGAAGGAAGTGTGTATTTGTTTAGTGTTTTGGGAAGGCAATCTGAAAATATGTACCAAAGTCTTAAAAACGTCTGTGAAATGGATCTTAAAAATGTCTACCTGACATTTAGATGTCTACCAACATCTAGAAATTTATGACATATCAGAAATAATTCAACAGCATTATTTTTAGAAAAGTGTTAAACTGACAACTCAAATTCTCAACAAAGAGGGTGATGTTTAAAATACCTAGTTCTCTGATGGGCTATCTTCAAAGAATAATGACCTTAAATCTCAGACAAAAAACTAAGGGGACACAACGAGAACATAAAGACACTTCTGATACAACCTCAAATTTGGAAAGAACATACATGTGTAGGTGTATTTATACTAAAAATGTGGAAGAAAAAAGTGTGTAAGGGAAAAAATTATAACGCTAATAGTAATGATCTCGGGATGGGAATTCGCATTATTTTTATTCCCAGTAAATTTCTGTATTTCACAAATTTCCTATAATTTCCTCAGGAGGAAAAGACGTTATTTTGGAGAGATAAATTGATTGATTGAATGATTAGTTAATGGACAGCGTCGGACGTCTCAGCCACTGTTCAGTTTCGACTCCCCTTTCCACCGTTGACGGTTCGGTCCTTCTCAGGTCTCCCAGCCAGGCAGCTACAAAATGAGGAGGTAGGTAGGTAACACACTAGATTACCTGAGGTCTTCATACTGTAAAAACACCCATGTGCTAAGGTTTTCCGATGGAACTTGGGGGCCAGGAGCTCTCAGAGGACAGGGCTGTAGACTCCGGCACTTCGCGGACCCCCTCGCGCGCGCGCAGCTGCACTGCACTCAGAGCTGGAGCCCACCCCATCCCGGTAAACCGGGATTGCGCCGCTTTTCACATCACCATGCATGGTGGTTTCTGCTCCCCAAAGGGGCCAGACTGCTGCCTTAAATGCGCTCCAGCCACAGCACGCCCTCGCATCTCCAAACTACCACCACTCCAGATATGTTTTCCTAAATGTACCCCGTTTACAGAGTCTTCTTGTGTGCATCATCAATAGGGCGCTTGGCAATTTACAAACCTCACACAACTCCAGGTTCCAACCACAGCTTAAAAGATGACACTTCGGACAAAGTGGCGCTAAAATTAAAGATATTTAACCTTTCACACTTTAACCAGAGTCTTTTCGAAGGAGACCTTGTAACATCAAGCCCAGATGTGGCGAAAAAAATGTACACCCCGAGCCAGCCAGGAGTCGAACCTAGAATCTTCTGATCCGTAGTCAGACGCGTTATCCATTGCGCCACTGGCCCCGTACCACTAGGCTCCTCACTGTAACATAGATCACGCCTTGTGTAGCTTGAACAATTCCGTGACACAAGCACTGCATTTCCGCCCGGCGCCGGGCGCCGCGGAACTGGCCCAGAGCTGCCAAAGCTTCAGTCAACGCGCTCCGCCAATCCGCAGCGGCAACGTCACGGCACTCCTCTGCCCGCTCCAGTCCGACGCTTCGGACCGCGTCTCTTGCATTCTCTAGCGCGGGCGCGCGCGCGCGCACTAAGTTTGTCCATAGCCGCTTCCCGTTCGCTCGCAGACCGCCCGGGGCGGGGAGACGGGTGAGGTGAGGCCCGGCGCTGCGGCCGCAGTGCCAGGGTGACCGGTAGTGCTGTAGCAGAGGTGGCGGCTCAACGCGGCGCGGCGCTGGGTGGAGCGGGGGAAAAGAAGAGGAAGGAGGCGTCGGTGTAGGATGGCGGGCAACGTACCTACGAGCGGCTGAAGCTGTGAGTCCCGCGGGTCGGTGCCGTTGCTCGAGAGGGTCTGCGGGAAGCGGGTGG